CAGTATGAATTCTTTCATGACTGAGAAGACGACTTTTCTGTGCAAAGGCTTTACCACATTGATTACATTCATAGGGTTTCTCACCATTATGAATTCTTTCGTGGCTGAGAAGATGACTCTTCTCTGCAAAGGCTTTACCACACTGATTACATTCATAGGGTTTCTCTCCAGTATGAATTCTTTCATGTCTGTGAAGAACAGTCTTCTGTTTAAAGCCTTTACCACACTGATTACATTTATAGAGTTTCTGTCCAGTATGAATTATTTCATGTCTGTGAAGATCACACTTCTGTACAAATGCTTTGCCACATTGATTACATTCATAGGGTTTCTCTCCAGTATGAATTCTTTCATGTCTGTGAAGAACACTCTTCTGTGCAAAGCGTTTGCCACATTGATTACATTCATAGGGTTTCTCTCCAGTATGAAGAATTTCATGTCTATGCAGATGACTCGACTGTGCAAAGGTTTTACCACATTGATTACATCCATAGGGTTTCTCACCATTATGAATTCTTTCATGACTGAGAAGATGACTCTTCTGTGCAAAAGCTTTACCACATTCATGACATTCATAGGGTTTCTCTCCAGTATGAATTCTTTCATGACAGAGAAGACTATTCTTCCCTCTAAAGGCTTTACCACATTCATTACATTTATAGGGTTTCTCTCCAGTATGAAATCTTTCATGACTGTTTAGACTTCTCTTCTGTACAAAGGCTTTACCACATTGATTACATTCATAGGGTTTCTCTCCTGTGTAACTTCTATTATGTATTATGGGACATTCAAAGGCTTTATCACATTGCTGAGATTCATACCTTTTCTCCTTAGTTTGAATTCTATGTACTTGATGAAGATTGTGACATGCAAAGCCTTTATATCTTTGATTATACACACAGGGTTTTCCTTCCAAATGAGTTCTTTGGTGTTTTAAAGAGCAATCACATCTAAAGGCTTTATCACATTGATTATATTCATAGAGATTCTCTTCATTATTGGGTGTTTGGTGTGTTTGAAGATGCCTGCAACAGCTAAAGCCTTTGGTAGATGACTCACATTTATTATATTCTCTTAACACATGAGGTTTTCCACATCTTTGAAGAGAACTTGAAGAACTCAGAGTTGAACCACACTGATTGCATTTGTAACATTTTCCTATACTGTGAGCCACACTACATGTGCACAGTGAACCAGAAGAGAGAGATGAATTTCCATATTCCTGGTACTCATTTTCTCTAATGAGAGTTTGTTGATGAATTTCCACTGAAGCTGGAAAACCAGTTAATTGTAAACTTGTATCACAGTCATCATGTCTTCTCATAGTGGGGACTACCACATATCTTCCAGTTGTTCTGAGAGAGACAGAACTACAATGCTTCTTTCCATGTCCCTTATGCTCACATGGATTGTGTCCAGAGTGACAGATGACACACCTGCTAAAGAAAGATAACAAATAAAGGGTTTTCACATTGCATTCCCAAAATTGAATTTTTTTGTGTCATACAGATGTAGAATAGTGATCCATGTTTCTATATCTCCAAGTCACTCATAAAGTGCTCCTCTCAGTAAACTATGCTAAATCACTCACTACAAGAAAATGAGGAACACTAGCTTTAATATGGAAGCTTTACTTATAAAAGGTCTTGGACACACCCAATCTCCTCACCAATGTGTATACCTTATATGATAAATGGAAGGCATGGCAGTAAGTGGATGGACAGTCCTACAACATGCCTCTCACATGGCTATGATTGAACATGTGACATCTATTGTGGCATTGTTTCCTTGTCTTGTCCTTAAAGGTGTTGGTGGAAATGTGTGAATGGTGTGGCCACACATGTGGGTTTCTGACAGGTTTTTTTGGTTTTTTTTTTTAAAGATTTATTTATTTCTTATGTATACAGTGTTCTGTCTGCATGTATCTATGCAGGCCAGAACAGGGCATCAGATCTCATTACAAATGGTTGTGAGCCACCATGTGTTTGCAGGGAATTGAACTCAGGACCTTGGGAAGAGCAAGCAGTGCTCTTAACCTCTGAGCCACCTCTCCAGCCCTCTGACAGGTTTTGAATGCCTGGGTTTATGTGTCCTAAATGTGTCTTGCTAATTGGATGTTTTAAAACCTATAAGGCTTGTGACTCCAGATTGAAACTGTGCTAGAGAACATCACGTGGTCTGCCACTACTCTAATTACAGGCAGCCAGCCACCTGGAAAGGCACCATTTTGGCTAAGGTCAGAGAGAGAGGTCAATGACTTCATAGCCATCTTAAAAAGGGTGACCATGTAGCCAGCTGCCATTTTGATTGAGGTTAAAGATACTTCACTATCATCTTTAGTACGGGTAACCATGTGGACTGGGTCCACCAAGGAGACATTAGGTCTCTAATAGAATTGGGTTGAAGATATATTTCTGTTTGATAATTTTTGTGGTTAGGATACATATCTGTTTGATAATTCCTGTCCTGTTCCTGTCTGTTCTGTCTGTTCCTGACTACTCTCACACCCCGAACTACCACATAAATGTCTCCAGGCAGTTTGTTCTGTTTGGTCCCTCCTCCTTTCATCCCTCCCACCAAAGCTGCCGCCGCCGCCGCCGCCGCCGCCGCCGCCGCCGCCACCACCACCACCACCACCTGTCTGCTAGAAACTACAGACTGAATCTTCTTGCTCTTACTAACACTAGTAAGCTGTAACTAATTGGGTAAACTGTATGTCCAGACTTAACTTATATATGCCTTCAAATTTAAGCCTAAACAACATTTGTCTAATTTAGATATACCTAACATTCTCAAACACCTTTAGAGAACTGACAATATCACATTTAATATAAAAGCTTTTTGTGAGAGACAGGCCAACTCCTGGAAGCATCCTGCATCTGTCCAAGAAGATGGACGGCCACAGAAGAACTTCCACCTGGAGGCTTGCCTCTTATGTAACAAAGGCAGCCAAACAGCGAAAAGCTGCTTTACACCTTTAACTGCTGCTGAGATCATGTCCAGACTGTGAATAAGCTGAGCAATGGGGGAACAATTGTCCCACTCTGCCAAGACAGGTAGGCCTATCTCCCCAAATTTCTACTCCACAAAGAATCTGTCAGATCCTCTGCTCTTGGCATGTGAACAAGTGCTACCTCTGGGACTTGTCCCACAGTGACCATAGAGAGACTTGGGACTGCCTGGGTAACTGGAAATCTGGCTCACTCCTGCTCATTTACTTATCTTTCTCAGATCTGATGGTGTTTGATGACCAGGGTTCTAATAGATTTGCCAGTTTAACAGCACCCCCAATCCCAAGGCTACAAGCACCTTAGTAGTTCATTAGTTAGTTTCCTATTAAAAATATATACAGGTGTGCCTCATTCACAAACTCCATGGTACAGGATAAATGGTTTCAGATATAGCTTCAGAGTTCAAAGTTTTAGCTTTGATGAATGCAGTTTTGACAAATTGACAGAGCACTGATTACAGTCTTCAGGGGTCCTTAAATTTCTGTGGATTTTACTGGTCCAGCTTTTAGAGCTAGGTTAGCATTAGAGAGGATATAGAACCCTGCAGGCATGTTCACTCCCTCCTCCTTCACTCACACAACCTCCTTTGTTCAGTAAATTTAGACTTCAAAATGTTCATGCCTTAACCCAAGGCCATAGCTTTTTACCATGACACCAAAATATAAATCAGTTCCAGTAGTTTTAAATGCACCTGAAGGTACCTGGAAAAAGGGCTGGGCCACTTTGTAAAAAAGTCTGGCCTGATGGAAACTAATATCACTTATCAGAGTCTAATTTGACCCCACCCATTTTTTTAGCATATTCTGTAGGTTCAATCTTCCTGCCTGGGCCAAGGTCAAACCTGCAGGAGCCCACCACATACACCAGCCCCTGCAACAGCTCCAAAGATGCAAACCAAGCTAGGGCACCAACTGGGAGAATAATAACAGGTTGATTTCACCCACATGCCCACTCATAAAAATCTCCATTAACTCTTATGACACATTTACAGGATGGATGTTCTCACAACCTCCAGGGAAGCAGCAGATGCTATGGCTAAGGCACTCCTGGAAAACATCATCCCTCAATTTGCCATGCCGTCTCCCCAAGCTCCTGGGACCTAACTGCTGGTACCACCTCTCCAGGCACAAGTGGGCACCTAACCAGCAACTGAAACCTTGTTTCCAAGATGTCCCAATTAAGGGCATATCTGCCCTCATGCCTCACTCATTCACCCTTGACTCTTTTGTACAATCAGGACTCTTCTCAGTTCCATTCTTTCTGGCAGTCTTCCTACTACCAATGGGTAGCCCCATTCACAGGGCCAGTGATAATATCTATTTTTTTCTCCTAGCACCCTGCATTCTGTCTCCTCAAGAACAGATTCCTGTGCCTGGAGGTGGTGGTACACACCTTTAATCCCAGCACACAGGAGGCAAAGCAGGCATATCTGTGAAATCAAAGCCAGCCTGGCTACAGAGTGAGGTCCCAGATCATACCAAAGCTACAAAGAGAAACCATGTCTCGAAAAATGGAAAAAAACAACAACAACAACAAAAAAAAAAAAAAAAAAAAAACCAGATTCCTGAGGTCTCCTGGATGGCAGCTATCCAAAAACTGCTCCACTCCATGCCAGCAGGAAATAGACAGACAGACTTGAACCTGCACCCATATAGACCCAAAAAGTTGGGAGTTTGCAATCTCCAGCTCAGGGAGCCCCATTCTTAAAGCCACTACTGGCGGCTCCATCCCCCAGAGATGTCTTGATCATGCCCATGCCTACTGGCATTTAAGACCTGGCCCATAGATCTGCCATGGGTGCTCTCCTGTTCTGTCTCCCGACTTTCCGAGAGCCCCTGAAAGTGCACTGATTTGCTATGCTCTGTTTATTAAATCTGGATTTATTAATTTGGTTTGATTTGACATACTGCATCAGTGATGGAGGAAGTCAGCAACCGGGGATCTGATACTTATCACAACCATACATATATACAAACTTGCACATGAAAATTACCTTCCATTTCTTCTACAGCTCTGACAGTGTTCTTCAATATTATGGTCTTCCCATTTGTAACCTAAAATACAGTACCAGAAAATGTATGTGATATATTACTGGAAATTAGGCACACTTGAAATTACTATCTTTCATGAAACTTACCACCATGCCTGATTTATTCACCAGATTCTCCTCCTTTCATATGCAAAATCACAGAAGAGAACCAATCCAAAGAAAAAAGCTTGTCCCCCTTTAGCTAAAAAGTGACAGAAAGCTCACATTCTTACCTATACAAGTGAGGTTCCAGTAGGTTTCCAGCATCACATCTTTGTAGAGATGCTTCTGGGAAGGATCCAGCAAAGACCACTCTTCATGAGTGAAGTTTACATGCACATCCTCATAGGTCACTGCATCCTAAAATATCCCATATATATGTTCCTAATTGAAATGATGAGACTGAATTGCAAATATACACTTCATTGAGAATATATTTATAAAATTCTGTGTGCTCAAAACATTCAGTGACATTGGTCAGTAAATATCAAATGCAGTCACCAACTCATTTTGAAAGGAAACATAAAAAGAGAATGACACCTTTCATTCCAGTGACTAAACAATAGAATACGGCACATCAGGAAAAATGTCTAGTAATGTATACAGAGACATGCAACCTAAGTAACACTATTTAGTATACATCAGCAGAATTTTATCAAAGTTATTATGTCAAGAAAGGATGGGCAATAAGGGTGTGGTGGTGCACAACTCTAATCCCAAATCATGGGAGGCAGAGACAGGTGAAACCCTGAGATTTCCAAGCCTGCCTGGTTATGTAGAGAGTGCCAGGACAGCCAAAGGTACATAGTGAGACCCTGTCTCAAACTAAAAAACAGAAAGCACTCAGGCCTCACTCAAAATTCCTCCATGGACTTAAACATTCCCGCCAGCTCTGCACTTGTCTAACACAAGCTGGGGTGACCCCAATTGAACTGTAAGACTAATAAATCCAAGGAAGCAAAGCATGTTGAAGAAGTTACTGACAGTCAGATCACTGAGTTCTCAAGAACATTAGTAAAGTAAATGCTTATCCTAAAACAGTAAAACAAACACCAAAAGAGAGGGAGTAAAGACAGATGGGTCAACAGATAAGAACACACATTTGAAAACAATATGAAAGTGTAAAAACATACACAAAGGTAGGAACAATATTACACATTGACAATTCAGTGATTCAGGAGATCACTATTAATTTCATGAACGAATGCATTTTTGTTCTGAAAAATGACACCAATGCCAAAGTTCAAAAGTCATGACATGGGTAAAGTTCAGCACAAGAGCAAATGCCTGACATGTACAAAAACCTGATTCAATCTGCCAAAAATATAACCGTAAAAATATCAGTAAAGTGTAGTTAGAGTTTTCCTGCCTTGCCCACAGTCAGGACAAATCTCTATTATCCGCCAGTCCCACAGCTGCTCAGACCCAACCAAGTAAACACAGAGACTTATATTGCTTACAAACTGTATGGCCATGGCAGGCTTCTTGCTAACTGTTCTTATAGCTTAAATTAATCCATTTCCATAAATCTATACCTTGCCATGTGGCTCGTGGCTTACCGGCATCTTCACATGATGCTTGTCATAGCGGCGCCTGGCAGTGACTCCTTCTGCCTTCCTGTTCTTTTATTTCTCCTCTCTGTTAGTCCTGCCTATACTTCCTGTCTAGCCACTGGCCAATCAGTGTTTTATTTATTGACCAATAAGAACACACATTTGGCATACAAACCATCCCACAGCAGTAAAGAAATACAGATTGGCAAGAAAAAGCAATTGCTTCTACTTTACCTTACATTATTTAAGAACAGAGTCGGGCATGGTGGCGCAAGCGTGTAGTCTCAGCACTCAGGAGGCAGAGGCAGGCAGATCTCTGTGAGTTGAGACCAGCTTGGTCTACAATGTGAGTTCCAGGACAGCCAGGACTGTCACAGAGAAATCCTGTCTCGAAAAACCAAAAAAAAAAAAAAAACCGGGGGGCGGGGGGCGGCGGGGGGGAGTCTCTAATGCAGGTATGGCATGCGTACATGAGAAGGAAGGGGGCTGCTCACTTTCAAAAAAACAAAGGAATCTGGTGAGACTATATTCCTCCAAAAGCTTCCTCCTAAGGGTTTTGTAAGTCACCAATGAAGGCCCACACAAAAGACAAACACTCAAACTCAGCACACTACCTGGAAGATTTTTTCATTCAACCCTCAACATTTTGACACAGGTCATGACAGGCTCACAGTCAAACCACGATGTAAAATGCATTTAGTCTGATTTCATAGATCCACATGTTATGTAATAGTCCCAATACTGTTTGAATGTCCACAGTTTCTTCTGACATGCAAGGAGGTCTCTTGACTATGACCTCATGTAATAAATAACAAATCATAAATCATATCAACCCAAACACAATGGCACAGAACATATATTTCCCTTTCAAGGAATTAAGGAAAGATTGGACCAAGGCAAGTCTGAAACCATGCAGGGCAAACACCAAACATCTAATGATAATGTTTTAGCCCATCACGGCCATCTAAGCAGAATGCACACAGGTCAGGGGAAATAGTTCCTCAGATGGGCATTCCCTCCACTTTGTGCCTGCTCTAAGCAGTTCTAGGGAAAGGAAAAAGTTCTCCTGGGCTGAGCCCTAAGATATAGAGAAAGTTCCACTACTTTGTCTTCCATAATTTGTGTCTCTTTTCAAGCAGTGATCTGTAAACCTGGTGTGCTGAAGTGTGACTGTAGCATTAATCTTAAAAGTTATTAATAAAAATCAAACCTGAGCCAAGTATTGGGGTGAACTGGAAGATCAGAGAACCAGAACAAGCCTCAGCTTCCTAACCTCGCCAGATCCTCAGCTGGTCTTGTTTCCTCAAACTGGAGGCCTCTGAGTCCTCAACTAGAATGGGTCTCAGCTGAATTGCTACTCAAAAGCCTGAATGCTTAACCAGGCCAAATGCTTAACCAGGCCAAATGCTTCTTGTTTCCGGTCCTCACGCCTTATATACCTTCCTGCTTTCTACCACCACTCCCTGGGATTAAAGGCATATGTCACCATGCCTGGCCGTTTCCAATGTGGCCTTCAACTCACAGAGATCCAGAGGGATTTCTACCTCTGGAGTGCTAGGATTAAAGGTGTGAGTGCCACCATTTTCTAGCCTTTGCATCTAGTGGCTGTTCTGTCTCTGACCACAGATAAGTTTATTACGGTGCACAATATTTTGGGAAACACAATACCATCACATTTCCCACTTTTTGTCTAAAATTTAAAAAAGCTTATAATTAATACAAGAAAAATTATATCCAATAAGTATATACAATATACACAGTCAAGATTACATTAACGATGTCTAGTCCATTAACATTTGACAGATTCAGACAAAAAACTCCATTAATATAACAATGTCCAGTCCAGTAACATTTGATAAACTCAAAAAATTTCATTACTTATCCTATTTAAAACAAGTAATTCCTTTTTAAAAGTATTTTTCTTTTCATAATAGATTCAGTAATCTATCTTTTGTCATTTTTATATCTTCCTCTTTTTCTTTTCAGTGTAGATTCAGTGAGCTACCTATTTATCCTATTATTTCTTTATCTTTTTTCTCAGAGTAGATTCGAGGATCTATCTCATATCTATATTCTCTTTTTCTTTTTGCTTTCTAAGGGTGAAGATATCTTTAGGGAATCTTGAAAATAAAAATTTTGGGTTAATTGTCAAATCCTGTATCATTTGTCCAGTCTCTGTATAATAGGAAAGTTCAGGGCTTGTCACAAGTCCTTGTTTGATTAGTCTGTCAGGCTGGATAATCTCAACTAGCCATCTCAAAATTGTCCTGAGTAGTTTGTAGTCCAAAGCTGATTTTTCCTTGGTGTTAATCAGCTTAATGGCTTTACCATAGTCCCTGTGGAATCATCATTGTGGAGTCCTGTCATCTTTTTGAAGATTTCAAAGTCACTGTTAGGCGTGATCATGGTTCCCTGCAGACTTTTTTTTGTGTGAGTGCCTCCTCTGTGGTTTGGAGTAATGACAGTCTGATAAATGTCTGTCTCTCAGAACCACAAATGTTCTTCCCTAGAAGAGAAAAATCTTCACAGCAATTTCTCCCCACCATTTGTCTTGCCAAATTTTTCCAAACTGACCTTTGCCGATGCTTTCTTGTAACATGATGGTCCTGGCAATTCTTCTCTGAACAAACAACGGTAAACCCTTTCTCCCAGGTGGCAGCATCATTGCAGTCACCAACATGATGAGAAGGAGCCGGCAACTCAGAGTAGCAGCCGCTGCCTCCATGGTCCCACTACTGTTTGTGGTTCGGTCTGGGCTGAATCTTCTCCCAAGCCTTCTAGGCCGGCCTCAAACTCGGGATCCTCCTGCCTCTCCCTCCTTCAGTAAATCCTACCGGCGTGTGCCACCACAACCTGCCGAGTGTAGATCGGGTCTGAGCTGGGGCCCACAAGGCCACAGACAAGCAGCTTTTTCATGAATTTGTACCACAAACGTTGGTGCCAGATGTAGAAATAACCGTCTTAATCAATAAGAAACACAGAACCAATGCAAAGATGAATGCCCAAGAGCTAAGAGCCTTACCCTTCACTCTGCATGTGACTGCTGTAGATGATGTCATGAAGCTGCATTTCTAACTGGAGAGAAGTGCCTACCACACAAGGCACAAAGGTTTTAAACTTTACTTAACTTTTTCATCTGTTTGGTTTTTTTGAGACAACAAACTGATGAGTACTGTGTAGTCCTGGATGCCCTGGAACTCGCTTTATAGACCAGACTGGCCTCAAACTCTTAGATCTCCATGCAACACCACCGCTGATTTAACCATTGTAACAAGTTAAACCCAAAAGTCCTCAGTCCAGCAAATATGGAGAGTCACAAATCTGTCTGATCACAGCCCAGACTAGACTCGATTGGGAGAAAATGGGGCCAAGCAACATCTTGTGTCTGGGGACTGAGGAGAAGGTGAAAGACCTGGATGACAACTAGCTTCAACAGTTCAGTCAATTGATGAAACATGTGGAATGATTCAGCTGTCTCTGGTTGGGGTCTTGGAATTCTATCCCTGTTCCCTAGTTGCATGGAGCCTACCTGCCTAAGACAGAGGCACCAACTCCTTCTACATACATGCAAACCTAATTAAGGAGTCTTTTTAAGGAAAGGGTGTAACAGTGTATATTTAACCATGGAGAGATGTGGATCCCACTGGAACTGTGCCTAATGGAGGATGGGCTTCTTTAGCAGGGAGCTGGACTAACCCTGAGTAGAAAGCAACCATGTAGTTTGCTGTCATCTTGTCTATTATGTCAATATTATATGACGACAATTCAGAATTTGAGCCAGAGATTCAGCAAAAGTCCAATAAAAAG